CCCCAGGATTAGAATCGGCCCCACCTAAGGCGTTTAGTTCACATGGACTTGTAACGTAAACATACTTTAAATGAGAGTGTCATAATTGCTCATCTGAAAGTTAAGGCTCCTAACGACAAGAAACAATTAATATTGTTTGATATAAACGAAAAGCAGATTTAATAAGATTTAACCTTAAACTGATATTATAATGTTAGGTACAATTCTTCACACCAACTTTTCTGACAAATTTTCAGGATATGTTTTGGGCTGTAAATATTTCCTCTAGATTATTAACGAAGTTGTTCAATATTTGGACTGTGAGACCTTGTTTCCGACGCCTGATGGCCCATATCCTGACATGAGCTAAAATCATCTGAAGAACCTTTCAAAACCATTTCAAGGATAAGTTGATAATCTTACCTCTACAGCGTAAACGAGGATATTTCAAATTTGGGCTGAGTCACCTACTCTTTGACCCAAGGTAACCATTTTCAAACATGAGCTAGAAATCATTGCATTAACTATATTGACATATTATCAAAATATTTTGGCTGACAATTTTACCTTAAAGCAGCACGCCTCCAGATTTATTCTAATTTTTCATGATAATTTTGAAAATATGTTTAAAAGTAAAATATTGCAAATTGAACAAACAAAGAAATTTATATATTGCAAGCAGCACTTACAATCCAAAAATATTACAAAAATGGGTCGAAATATGCAAAAATAGCCTTTACTACTTTAGTAACTCAGTGGAAATATGATGATAAATACTGCAAAATCAATCATGAATCGTACAAAAGGTATAAATCATTACTGGAATCTAAATACTTTCTTACAATCTTAGTGCGTTTTCCCAAAGTTTTATTTTCTTGAAATATTTTGGCTCATCTGGAAGCCTGCAACTTTAAGACTGTTAACAATGTTTTTTCACTTCATATTTAGTAAAAATAAGTTCAAACTTTCCGGCCAATTTCGAGAATATTTGGACTGAAAATATATCCCCTGGAGTGTTAACAATCTTTCTTATATTTGGCTCCTGAGACATATTTTTCGTCCAAGATTACTCATGTTTGTACTCGCCGAAGCAGATACAAACAAATTGAGGCAAAATTCAGGAATATGGCCATTTGAATGTCAACAAACTTAATGTGGACGGACGACAGACGACGAAAACGGACATTTAGCAAGCCAGCTCAGGTGGACTACCATAACTACAATGACTACAGCTTAAGTATTTGGCATGTAAAATAGAGGAAACTAGAACTGTGTCCAAAGGTCACGGATGCCCCCACTGTGCAGATATGCTCGTAAACAAGAGCATGCATATCTGTATGTAAGATTTTTATGTTGAACTTGATCTGCCATCCGGTTTAAGAGGAGTTGCAAAAATTCTATATGGTATAAAGTAAAAAAATCAACAAAAGACCATTATTCTCTTAAATTTGGTTGCAGCAAAAATTCCTCCCTTTACTTTTATCAACACATTAAGGTTGTTCATCCCTGGAAGTTTAAGCAAAATCTGCCATCCGGTTTAAGAGAAATTGCGTTCACAAACTTTCTATATGGTATATAGTGAAAAAATCAACAAAGGGCCATAATTCTCTTAAATTTGGTCGCAGCAAAAATGCCTTCCTTAACTACCATCTACACATTAAGGTTGTTCATCCCTGAAAGTTTAAGCAAAATATGCCATCCGGTTTATGAGGAGTTGCGTTCACAAGATTTCAGGACGTACGGACAGACGTACGGACGGACAGACGAACAGACGTACGGACGAACGGACAAGTGCAACGCTATATACTCCCCACTTTGTAAGGGCATAAAAACAGTATCCTATAAGAACGCCCGAAATGACAAAATTTAATATGTTACAGGTTTGGTTAGATTAAATCTTTATATGGACGGTAGTGTTGTTTTTTATTTTTGTGTTTTTGTTGTTTTTTATTGTTTGCTTCGGGTCCACCAGTGTAGAACCCCATTTAATTGAAAATCATACATATATGTACAATAAATAAAAGATGTGGAAAATATATGATAGAGTTTCAGATTTTCAAAGTACTTATATAAAATATTTTTTAGAATTGGAGAGATTATATCAATTTACGTCAGGAAAACAATGGTTTATATCACCCTTAGGATATGTTGCCTGCTTTTTAAATTTGTCTTTTGACGTCTTATCTGTGATACGCAGGCTTCATAACCTCTGATCCCCTTTCAAAATTCCATTTTATTTAGTTCCGCCCATTGTTTTCTCGTTTAGGGCACACGCTTTTTATTACTTGGGGACCATACGCCGCTTTTCATGGAATGGCACGGAAGTGTCACATTGAAGGTTCCATGATAACCGCCGTATGAACACATCTGCGGATGTTTCTAAATTCAAAATTTTACTATTTCACGTTTAAATGTTGAATTCTGCTTAAGCCGGTGCTAGGGGGCGTGGACGGTAACTTGCACTTTCCAGTACCGTCCATGAACAGGCTCAATCAAACCGAGCCTGCAACATTTTCAATTTTGCCGTGTTGGGCTTTCTTTAGGGATTCTGTTTTTATCTATTTTATGATCACATCCGTGTTATTTGTGCCGTGTGGCGGCTGTAAAAAGTCTCCCCGTACATTTAATCAATGATGTTATATTTTCGATCCTTGAAGATCGTTCAGCACGACATTATTGTTGTGCTTGTGGTATTTTCAGTTTCAACTTTTCGGCATTTTCTAGTTGGGTGGTTCTAGTATCCCTACTTGAATATTGTACAATCATCCTTAGGATATGGTGTCAGCTTTTAAATTTGTCTTTTGACATCTTATCTGTGAATGCAGGCTTCTTAACCCATGAGCCCCTTTCAAAATTCCATTTTGTTTAGTTCCGCCCATTGTATTCTCGTTTAGGGCACACGTTTTTTATTACTTGGGGACCATACGCCGCTTTTTCATGGAATGGCACGGAAGTGTCACATTGAAGGTTCCATGATAACCGCCGTATGAACACATCTGCGGATGTTTCTAAATTCAAAATTTTACTATTTCACGTTTAAATGTTGAATTCTGCTTAAGCCGGTGCTAGGGGGCGTGGACGGTAACTTGCACTTTCCAGTACCGTCCATGAACAGGCTCAATCAAACCGAGCCTGCAACATTTTCAATTTTGCCGTGTTGGGCTTTCTTTAGGGATTCTGTTTTTATCTATTTTATGATCACATCCGTGTTATTTGTGCCGTGTGGCGGCTGTAAAAAGTCTCCCCGTACATTTAATCAATGATGTTATATTTTCGATCCTTGAAGATCGTTCAGCACGACATTATTGTTGTGCTTGTGGTATTTTTAGTTTCAACTTTTCGGCATTTTCTAGTTGGGTGGTTCCAATATTCTTACTTGAATAATGTTGAATCACCCTTAGGATATGTTGCCTGCTTTTTAAATTTGTCTTTTGATGTCTTATCTGTGATACGCAGGCTTCATAACCTCTGATCCCCTTTCAAAATTCCATTTTATTTAGTTCCGCCCATTGTTTTCTCGTTTAGGGCACACGTTTTTTATTACTTGGGGACCATACGCCGCTTTTCATGGAATGGCACGGAAGTGTCACATTGAAGGTTCCATGATAACCGCCGTATGAACACATCTGCGGATGTTTCTAAATTCAAAATTTTACTATTTCACGTTTAAATGTTGAATTCTGCTTAAGCCGGTGCTAGGGGGCGTGGACGGTCACTTGCACTTTCCAGTACCGTCCATGAACAGGCTCAATCAAACCGAGCCTGCAACATTTTCAATTTTGCCGTGTTGGGCTTTCTTTAGGGATTCTGTTTTTATCTATTTTATACAATGGTTTATAATTGCATTACAAATGTATATCATTATATGTAATTTACAGCATTTTTTGTTTGTTTCTATCCGTTCTGCCATTGTGTTCCCAGCAAGATAACCTTAACAAAAAGTATAAACGAAAACAAATTTGGTCTTCACGTGGGTTATTGTTTAGTAAGAAAGGTAAAAGTATTATATGAAAATATTATAATACAGTTCGTTCACATATATAGTAGACAGAACGGAACAGATAGATGCTTATATTATAACTGAATCTTTATGTGTGGTGTAGGCGTAGCTTTAACTATTGTACGAATGCTCAAGATCTTTTAAAAGAAAGATTATGACAAAATTTCCACGAATCTAAAGAGTTCTGTCACAGAAAGAGAGATAACTACTAAAATTAATCTAGCAAATCCTATACACATTCACTTCCCTTAAGTCGAATGTGGTCTTAGAAAAAACTGAATTGCCTAAGATAACTACTATAATTAATCTAGCATATGTTTTCGCATTTACTTCCCTTAAGTAGAATAAACTCTTACAAAAACTGAATTAAGTTAGTTTCTTCAAAGCACCAATTACATATTAAATATAAAAAAAGAAGTTTTTTTAAACAAATGATAATAAAGTCAGCCGGAACTGCTAATCTCCTCCCATTCTTTCATGGACCCGAATCAACAAGAGCACGACCTGGGGCTAGAACCTCCCATTCGGTCTTCCTTCGACAAAACGCACCCTACGCGCACGTCAGGTTCTCGTCATGAATACAAACAGGTGGTAGAAGCCAATGTTCCCACAATCTTGATATCTATATATGTATATAGATGTACTTCATACATTTAATTGATTGACATGTCAGCAGAAGAGATAATCTATACATATTATTTATATCTATACATACCCGTTCTACGGGTCACTTGTTCTAGAAAATTACCAGATTTATATCAATCCTGGCACAATTCTCAAAATGGCGTTCTTCTTAGTTTCTAAGAATTATGAGCTTTTCTTGGAGTTGATCTCATATGAGCGTTCTGGGGCCTTCGTGGCTTTTGTCGTGTTTGTTGTTTCGTAAAAAGTAATATATTAAACACCGTGTACTGGGGATGATAAAGAAATATCCGGAATCATGAATTGAATTCAATAATTATATTTATTTAAAGTTCATAAAACAAACAATATATTATTGCGTAATATATCCTCTTCACAAGAAAACAAAAAATATAACAATTTAACACATCATGACAATCTTATACTTATCTAAGGAAATGTTTGCCGCTGTGCGTGTAATATAGCTTTGATGCCTTATATACGATGCCTTATATACCATCGGGTGAATAAGCCCATTGGTTGAATAAATATATTTATATATCATAAGGAGTCCGTTCATTTGTTTGTCAATTCCGGATGTTGCTCATCGTAAATGTACTTACAATTAAACCTGTTGTTAACTTAATCTTAAAGGACTCACTCAACCGATGTTTTTTGAAATGACGAATCTAGATTTTTTCTCGAGATAAATGTACCATTTGTTTTAGGTGTTGATTTTTAACATGTGTGCAAAGTTATATGATAAACAAGATCATCAAGGAAAGATGGCGTTCAATGAACGCAGCTCCCACCCGACCCAGTAACAAGAGCAAGTGGCAAGGAGCCCAGGATGACCCCAAACAAAACAGGAAAGGGAACAAGGCAGAGCACGGGCAGGCAAACAACTATAATTTATGTCCGTTAGTTCGTTACTACGTCACTTGCCGGAGAATTCATAAAGAAAAGAAATTTGTCTTATTCAATTATTCAAACAAAGTACATATATATTGATTTATATGACAAGTGATACATTCTATTTAAAGTGATCGTTTTGCTCATTTGATTCATATTAAGATATAGAGATATGAGCGATTTGTAATAACATACAAGGTGTCATGATATTGGTGAAACTATTTCCTTTTCTTAAACTGAAACCTCCCAAACTCCACATCTATAATTACTTCAATCTCTTGTTTAGTTCGAACATAGTTACGTTCTTCTTCCCGTTCTTCTTCTCGTATTGTGTATGTTTCAACCTCAATAGGCTGTTGAAGAGTCAAAAGGCTATCAACAAATGTATACCACGTATTCAGGCTCATATTGGTATGTCCTAGTTCAACGCGTGTAAGAGTTTTCATCTCTCGTGATACTGTAAGGGTGTTATCATCTATATCTGCAGACATTAACGTTAGTATTCTAAGCTTATTTAATGTATGCACTACTGTAATAACTCGTCTGTTATATTTAAATGGATTACCTTCTAACACAAGTTCAGACAATCGGCCAGCATTTAACAAAATATCAAAATTTAATATACCGGGTGAAATGTGTACACTTTTAAGATGTTCAGTGTTTAAGTAAGAAATTTGCATATTCTTACAGTAGTTCAATCTAAGATTGTGGAGCTGGTTTTGCTTAGAAAGATCTATAACATGCGTATAACTTTCATCATCAGGTCGATCATCAGATACATGTATCAAAGTCAGCTGTCTTAAAGGGGCCTCTTGTAATAACGATACAAGTGATGCTATTTTACCTGAAAGACCATTCAAATGAAGTTCATTGAGCTTACATGCTTTTGTTATTAGATTAAAATCTAATATACAAGCATAAAAATGTAGACGGTTATCAATATATATATGTTTTAGTTGCTCTGTGTTTAATCCCGTAACAACTATATTAGGACACGCTACCAGTTTAAGAATTTGAAGATAATTCTGTCTGGACAGATCAATACCATGACGTTTACTGTGGCTACATTTAACATTGCATAATGTCAGTTCTCTTAATGGTGCTCGTTGTAATACTAATGGTAATGAAATCAAATTACCAGTATAATCTTTAATGTTAAGCTCAGCTAGCTTGCTGGCATTCAACAGACAATCAAAATCTAATATTCTGGCACAATCATTAATGTGTAACTGTTCAAGTTGTTTAGTATGCAGGTCAGAAATTTCCACATTCTTACAATAGTATAGTTTTAGAATTTGAAGCTGTTTCTGATTAGAGAGATCAAAAACTGGCTTACTTATTTTATTATGCAATGCAAATTGATTTGATAATAATGGAACATGCAAAATATGCATGTATTTCAGTTTCTTGCATTTTGTTGTGTACTCAAACCATTCTGCAACTGATTTAGATTCGCAGGTTAAAGAAGTCACATCATCTGCGTTGACTCTATGAAGTGGTGGAATAGTTTCAAAATCTTGTATATAAAGGTCGCTCAGACTGACTTGAGTCTTGTCATGAGTGTCATTTTCCTCCAAACAAGATACTATAAGTCGTTGTATCTGATCAATCTCATTATTCCATCCTATTTCTTCCAACCCTTTTCTTCTTATATCAACAATTTGTTCATCCGTATTCACGATAAGTGAAATATATGTTGCGATATCACCAATTAGTACAGGGGACAAACCACAAATCATTTTAATCACATTAGATAACTGTAATAAATCGATAGCAGATGTACATCTTCCGAAAAAGTCATAAAGTATCGTACTTTTTCTATCTTTCTCTTTCCCTGCAACATAGGTGGACTTTTCCATGGAATAACATGTTGTAAAGTGCAATGAGACGAAAAACTCAAGATAGGAGATATGGATAAAAGCAAATTGTGTATCTTCCAGTGTAGGATCGTAACAGTTACTTTCATTCAGAATACCATAGAATCGTGTAAGGATATCAATATCACTATTCGATAAACCTTTTTTGATAAGATATGACTTACCAAATGTTGGCTTTACCTTGTAAGACGTACACCTGTCATATGCAACTTTTCCGAGAAGTAATAAGATGCGTTTTTTGTTTTCTAATCGAGGAAATGTATGCAACATTTTAGGAAGAGTAACGTTCTTGTAATCTTCCACAGACTGACTTGTATCATTATCACGCCCTTTATTCCTTCGGTCTGACCAACCAAACACCGTATTCAAGATCTGACAGTAAGTTTCGCTGACAGAATTTCCAATTTCCTTATCATTACAGTACAACCATAGCAATTGTTGTAAAAGTAATGGTGTCTTCTCGACATGCTGAACTTTTTTTGACTTTAAAATTCCCATAAATTGAGAGTAAGACTTTCCAGTTGAGTTTACATTGGAAATATATCGTTCGATGAATGCTTTCAATGATTTACTAGATATACCTAATAATTGTAACTTAAGATCAAATTCTGAAGTCTTTAAATTTAATATTCCTTTTGCTGATGGTCTAGATAATATCATTACTGTTGCATTATTTACTCCGTCTCCATTAGGTATTCCGTAACTTACATGTGGTACATTTATTTCTTCTTCTGGAGGTGTCCATTCGTCTAAGCCATCAGCTAAAATAAGGCAACCCCGTGAGTCTTCCTCAAATAGTTTATCAATCAACCCCGTGTTTTGAGGTGAGAAACATTTCTGTGCTATTTGTTTTACCATGACTCTGATGTCAGAAGTAAATATGCACATGCCTTGTAGTTGTATGTAGAAAAGAAATTCATATTGTCCGATTTGCGAGACGTCATTGTCAACTTTATATGCCACATTTGTTTCATTAGGATCAATTTCATTTAACTTATTTTCATTGTCAATCGGTTGTTTGGTTCCAGTAATAGCACAACACCAGTTGTCGATCATCATTTTGCAGAAAGTACTCTTCCCAGTGCCTACGTCACCTAAAATATAAATCTTCTTAATTTGCTGAGGTTGTTTTGTTTGAAAAATCTCATGATATCCTTTAATATAACTCTTTTCCGTCTCCATTTTATTATTTCTGTCCCTATTATCAGAATTGCTTTCCGTGACGACTTTTAATTTAGGGGATATATATACTGATTTAACGTTGATGTTATCTTCCTCTGGTTTCAAGGGACAAAGTGATGTATTCACATATGACCTCCGATACAATTTAACAAGCTTCTCTTGTAGCTCTGTCAAAAGAAGAATATAGAGGTTAGACATTAACTGTGCACCCTGGAACAATTGGTACATCTTCGTGCCTTACTTAGTGTGGTTTATGACAATCCAATTACTACTGTCGACGATTTAAAAGCAACGATTTAGAAAAAGCCATCATAAGACCAAACAACTTGATATTGATCATAGTTATCTTTATATCAAGATAAAATTGTATATGTGGTTAACTACATTTTAGAGTAGATAACTCTGTAAAATTCATCCGTAATTCATAACCATTCACTCTTATCTTTAAGTTATGAAATCTTATTTAGTTTTAAATTGGTTTCGATAATTTTAGACAACAGACAGCAATCATCCATATATTGACATGCCCGTCTTTATGTTAATGAATCTATTTAAGATTCTATAACATTGCGCACATTTACTAGAGCTATTCAGCTACTCAGTGAGAAGATGACAGTAAGATAAGAACACAGACCGACATAAATTTCCCTATTTATTTTAAATAGCAGTGTCAAGTTGTAAGGAAAATCTAATAAGTAATTTCTGAATACCCATCGCATTTATTTCTATAAGTTTTGAGTCAATCCCTTGAATAATTTTAAAGTTAAGTCTTGACAAAAAAATGCAACTGACCAACCGACCCTGACTGACCGACTGAAAAGTGTGAGCCTCCCACATATCTTCTAAAACACCCATTAAAACAAATTGATGTTCAATACAATTTGACAGTAATCAATGATGCAAATTATTGTTTCGTTATCACATAAAACAGACATTCAGTTTAGACATTTACTTTGTTTATCCTCCAAATATTTCATCCTGTCCTTTGTTTTTTGTTGATCACCTATATCTTTCAGGGAAGCTATTTCATGCTCTATCTGTATCAGGCGCTATAAAAAGGAAACGTTGAAGCGTTTGATATTTGGCTTCACTTGGTTGCATTTATTTAAACCTGACGTGAATAAAGATAAAATACCTTAAAATATAATAATAGGAATTTAAAGCGAAAAATAAAACGAATAGAGTCACCAACATCTTTTTCGAGTTATTTACCTTTGATAGCTTATAAGGAGAGAAATAATATGTTAAACTACATTAGATCCGTAAAATCTTTTCATGGCGTTATTTAGTTTATCTACATCACATCTGATGTCGTATATCACCTAAGAATTTTCATGATATTTGCCGTGTTGGGCTTTCTTTAGGGATTCTTATTTTCTCTATTTCATATAACATGTAATAATGCATTCAAATGCCCAGTATATATATTTAGGGAATGACGATTTTAAGGTTTTAGAATGTTAAATGTTACCATCCAAAACATTCGCTACAGTAAGTACTCCCTTTTGAATAACAAAAAAGATGCATTAAATAGTATAAAATACCTGTTTTAAGTCAGTCTCAAGATTACCTACTGCAAGTTCAAGCTTTTCAATTTCACCATTGTTTGCAAGCGTTTCTATGGCATTTTGTAGAGATTTTTGAATTTGATCACGTAGAGCTGTAGAGGCATCGGCTTGTTTCTTATCAATATCATCCTTTGTATTTTGGATCAACTGCTTCAGTTCTGCAGTCTTATGTGTAACCGTAGTTAAAGCTTCACGACATACCTCTATCTCGTTGTAAGTTGTTATTATAAAGTCATCATGCTTCAACTTAAAAAGGTATCTTTCTTAATTTGTAAAAAACAGTAATTAACGAATAGTTTAGGTCTCATAACATTATGCTTGGTAAAGTCTATTTCGGTAAAGAAAAGTAGCGAATACCATTCCTTTTATTTACAGTTTTTTGAGAATTGCTAAAAGTAATCAAAATTAGAATTTACAAATGTAGGGTTTTCAGTATTTTATGCTTTCAAACAAAGATTATCGTTGCAGCCACGATTATATTATAACATATCTTCAAAATCTATTTCTATATTTGTTTAGTTGTCGAAAACAATTGTTACTTTTAAAATATTAATGCTTTAAAATTACCTCTTTGAGTTTGGTGACCGCTTGTTGAGCATCTTTTCTTGTCCTTATTTCTTTTGCGTCTTCCAGAATTTCTATTATATCATCTACATATTCATTTAATTCTTTATCTTCCAGCTCCATTGACGATGAATGAAAAATAGAATTTCTTCTGGCACGAGTCTGAATTGAAAACATTCTCTAAATTAAAAGAATTAACTATAACATTTAATTCATAAACTTATTGAACTGTTAGTCAAATTCTTTTGACTGCTGAAAATCAAAAATGAAGTAAAAGACACAAAACGTTTAGCAATAAAAAGTCATAGGTTTGAGGAACACAGGTGGGTGATTGGAACAATCAGCAGGATAAGCACTACTGGAGAGTTGAAACAGGTACATAGTACACAAAACGCCATGTTTATGCCAAACAGCTGAAATAACTTCGTCAACATGAATGAAATTTTCCAACTAGACACGAGATGACCATCCGCCCATTCAAAATTGTGGAAAATCACAGGGGAACAACTTCATGTTTCACCGAAATATGCATCAGTAAAAATGATATGCCGGTCCTATAAAAAGGCTTTGGTAGTAACTTTGATAGATATATTACTAAGTAATTACATACCTATCCTAACGTTACAAAAAGGCAAATAAATTATCAATCCAGAATTAATTGTGTTCACGGGCTTAATTAAGCAGAAAAATTGCCATCTTAATTAAACCTCTTCCTTGATGATCGTGTTTTTCATATGTCCTGTCCTAATTTTGAAGCGTATTAATCACTTTATGTAACAATGTTTTCAAGGCAATGTACAGATAAAAAATAAATAAATGAACTTTTTTACATGAGAAAGCTCCGACTTGCTGTAAAATTTTATTAGAAGTATAATTACCTTGAAAAAGATGTTAGATGTTTTCGAGGATGCAAAATGAGAATAAAGACTGGTATTATTAATGAAGACATGGAGTAATCCAGATATGTCTATATCAGCTGCCTTTGTCTTGTCTGAATACCCAGGTGCATTGATGAAACATTTGGCGACCTCCCACGGTTCTGTACACCACTTCTGTATGTCTGTATTCGCCCAGTTTGGTGTTGGTGGGGTGGACCCGTGGCTTTTTATTATTTCTTCCATAATGCGATCACATATATGAAGACGGCATTTTTCCTTTTTTGTGTGTAAACAATTACACCTGTGTTGACCCCATCGACACTCATTTTTATTAGTGGTGGGATTTACAATGAATGTATGTAATGGTTGCAGACCTCCGATACTGCACCTGTTACATATAATACCGGGAGTGTGATTTATAGAACTAAGAACTCTTTTGTGTTCTTGTTTAACAACATCATCGGCAAAGCCGTCTAGACCTTGTTTAAGATATTTATATGCCAGTCCAACTCTTACCCAATTTCTATATTTCCTTTTCTCTATCTCACTTTGGTGACTCATCATTTCATTTTGGCTACTCTAAGAATATTTTATTCTTTCTGAAATTCGTTTCTGTAGCAATTTTCTGTCAAAATACGAAAAATATTATTAATTAATTAATTAATCAATTTATTTATTTATTTATGCAAATTTTACTGCGCTTTGACGCACAAAACTAACATGTTTATTGCTCAAAAGATCATTTGTTGAATTTATCAGATAATACTTCAAGGCAAAATTTCATAAAGGTTATATCAATAAAAAAGGTACTAAATTGGTGATCACCCAAATATGAACATGAAACAGTCTATTTAGATATATCACTTATGATTTTGACATGACGGCATAAATCTGGGTATGTTTCTTGATTATCATTTGCAGGTGTTTTTTTTCACTTCTGTATAGATATAAGTCTAAAATCTTAACAAATTAGTGTAATTTTAATTTCTTAAATAAAAAATCGATACCAGAACTACGTATAAGTATGTATAGAAGAAAATGTACCTCTCCATTTTTTTAAATCCTTTTAACCTTCACAAACTTATGAATGAATTGACATATGCATATTAATGCTATTTTAAACCTGTCATGTCAATAAGTCGTTAAAGGTAGATGACCTGATGTATCCTTGTAATTTCTTTGTTCTGTTACACTATATTCATGATATTTCTTAGTTTTGAAATCCACTTACCACTTGAAACTATGGTCTTACCTCCTCTGTTTCAAAAAAAATATAAATAGAGAAAAACAGAATCCCTAAAAAGAGCCCAACACTGCAAAATTGTAAAATGTTGCAGGCTCGATTTGATTGAGTCTGTTTATGGACGGTACTGGAAAGTGTTAGTTACCGTTCACGCCCCTCAGCACCGGCTTAAGCAGAATTCAACATTTAAACACAAAAAAACGTCATCATCCATTTGAAAAACATAATTATACATGTAAGTAAACAATTTAACTGCGTTAATTACTAACATGTCTTCTCAAGTAGTCTTCAAGAAAAGCAAGTTTTTTCATAATACTTAAAATTATAGTTTGAAACATTGGTCATAGGTACAGACATTTATAATCAAACTTGAAAAAAGCAGAAATTCAAATGGCCCTACATTTAAGTATATTCGTTTTAAATAATGTTGTTATTGTCTTTTTGTTGTTGTTGTTTCTTTCTAAGCTTTTTTATAGTTTTCTTCACATTAAACAAGGCAACCTTATATGTAAAAGAAAACTTATAAAAAATATGCAAGTATATTCGGTTTAACCCTGTATCATTTTGAACTTTTATAAGATATTTAACATCTAAACTAATTATGTTATAAAAGTCGTTTTGCCAAGTATGTTTGTCGACATCTGCAAATAAAAGAAATCATAAAGAAATTGAAATAAGTCCGATCTTCTTTAAAGCACTGGACAATGTAAAACGAAATTTGATGAGAGCGTTTTATTCATAATACATTTTCAATTAATGTTAAACAAAATGTATTGTAAAGTAAAGCCCATTGTTTCAATACCATTGTTACGTTAATATTAAGTTCATTCTAGATCAGCGATTTTCGTTATTTTCAAAACAGCGTAAAAACAAAGGTAGCTGATTAATTATTCTTAACGTGGACTTTTAAAGAAGTTAATACTTTGATTCTTTACTTATTATACCAACTTTATAATATGTTACTTTTTTAATGTGCCAGTTCAGTAAGGTTTTATTGTTAAATTAATAATTGAAAATACGTTTTGCTCAGACTATCAATAATGGAATATAAGTGACAATTTCTTGCTTAGTAGATCATCTTACAAGAAAACTTGTATAGCAATGCCTGTCATTTCATTAAACAAAGTCCAATACTGTAAAAGTGGAGCAAGCATTTTTTAAGAAATTTAAAAAAAATTCATTGAGAATTCAACAACCGATTAGAAACGGAAATGTTGAATTGTTATTAAAACATTCAAATCCTAAAGCACATGTTTTTTTAACTGGCAGATTTACAATATGGTACTTTAAGACTCAATGCAAGTCGCTTGTGATCTTTTTTTCTCCTACTCTCAAACTTTTTAAACGATATTCATTTTCTAAAACATATTTGTTAATATTATTCTGCAAATATAACTCTTGTGATCAAATATTATATTTTATGATATAAATATGTTTTATAACAAAGAATACATGATCAGATTTAAGGTTCCTCGGATATATCTTCGAAGTGTTGTTCTTTTAAGTAATGAAATAATTAGTTACAACTTAAAGAGTTCTTTTATTCTTCGTTGTTGTATTTAATCATGTTTTCAATATTTCTCTCTTCTTTATATTTTAAAATATTTTCGTTAAAAAACAATATTTTTTGCCCATAAGAATGCTGTTTGTTTGTAAAGTGTCATGCGTAGGGCCAGTTGTCTTCGTGTAATTTATGTACCAACACTTATCTTTGATGGTTAAGATTAACTCTGCAAACAAATTGTGCTGTGTTTCTTCGAACTTATGCGAGGAAAAATATTACTTTGACACACATACACGCACGCACGCACGCACGCAAAGAATCAAAAGATACTTATATTATTGTTTGAATACATAACTAAGTTATCAATCATCTAAGAATTGAAAACCAATTTGCATTAAGTGTCAGATTTAAATTTAAAATGTTGATTATATCAAGTTTAACAGTAGGAGGAACTTTAAAGTTTTGTTAAGCGCCATAAGTTGTTCAGTATCGGTATTCATTGAACATAATATAATGTAAGTCCAATAAGCGACATTATAGCTGAGTTGATAAGGTTGTTATTACTTTTTACACTTGAACGCAGAAGAACAAAAATCGTACTTGAACGGTGCAAATAAATTAAACAATAGTTGTGTTAACTATCCAGTTATGATAAACCTTTTTATTTTACAATACATGTGGATATATCACCTGTTTTTCATGACGTTAGGGCTATTCTTAAGTTAATGTGTTGATTCGTGGCCAAATTATTTCTGCATAATACAATACTCACAGTCTTGTAATATGTCATAATTCTAATAAGTTTATATTATCTCATCATTAACGAATCACGATGGCGATACTGAATTAATCAAGATATTCGAGAAATATGTATCCAGTTTTAGGCAAATCAAATAACCTTCAGTTTGTAGAAATAAACAACGAGTTTTCCCCCATCCATAAAGAAATTGTGAGCTTTTACCCATTTTTCGACAAAAGTTTTTCACGTCTTTTAAAAATTATTTGAAAAGTTAAAAAAAAAAATGAAAAATAGTGTGATTGTATTTTTTTATTTTTTTGTTAGAATTAAGATAACCATTTTAAAAAAGTTATTGATTTTTTTTTTTCCGCCCTTTAAAATAAATGTGGTTTTTAAATTTATTTTCGGGGCAGGGCGTAAAAAATTGGAAAATATTTTTTAATAAAGAGATTTGAATTTTCATACTATTAACATAAATGAAAAAATATTTACAGGTATTTTTGTCTTTATGGTTTTAAATAAAATAAAGGGGAAAAATAAAAATTTGGAAAAAATCTTTTTCTGACATAGCTGAAAGACCTTAAATTGTTTTTTTAATACACTGTACTTAGATTTTTTTCCTAGGGAAAAAAATTTTACTTAAGTTTTTACCCCTTTGATTTTTTCTTTTAATACTTGACAAAAAAGTTATATGCTAACTGTTATATAAGCAGTAATAATTGCATCGTTAACCAAAGAATGTAATAGTTTTATTAACTCTGACTTGATGTTTCCTGTTTTAGCTTCATATTAACTAAACTTAACCAATTCCGAAAGTTACTGATGTTACATTAATAACGTAAGAATCTTGCATTAAATAAGATTTTGTTCTACTCGTTCAATAAATTTATTGGCATACACTTATTGAATAATGTTTTAAATGGATATTGTAAGACATTGCACTTAAAACAACATGATAATTAAACAAGGGCAACGCCCGTCAAACTTTGGACAGAGATGAAGGCGTTATAGATATGCATAAAGGAGAGATGCTCCAGACAATAGCAGGATAATATCTTGATATTTAATCATCTCTGGTGCCTTTGACTTCCCAAACATTAACCTTAATCACAGGTGTCACACTTTTAGGCATGCTAGTTTATAAGAATCTTACAATAGCTGCCGGTAACGAGGCTCTGCCGAGTTTCCGCTTAAACAGTTACCCGAGAGCTAGATATTCCCGCCTGTACCGACAGCCGGTGTTTGATTCTTTTTCTTGCATATTACAAACCAATAATTTCCAGAACAAAAATTACGAAACCTGATATTTTCATTACGCACTTTTTTCTTATCGTAGCGTATGGACTTACAACTTCATTCATAACGGTTAAGTGATGTCATCCTTAGAACGAAATTCATTCAAAAAAGGCGCGCAGCAATGACGTCATTTAAAACACGCGACTTGTCTTACATGGGGGGATGTAAGACAGGGTTTTCTAGCACCAGTGTAAACGGTAGATAATTCTGTCTGACATGCAAATAATATTTGTGTTTTCAAAAATCAATGTTGAAGACTAAAAAGGTGCTGTAACATTTTGTTTTTATTTAACTTTTAAACTCTTTTTTGACCTTTATTTTGGGGCAGTGACCTGAACTTTGCAGCAAACTTAGCCTCACAAGGGGACATTTGTGCCAAATAAAATTAGAATTCCCGATGAATGTGGTTTTGACCGAATAAATTTTTAATGACCCCTAAGTGTGACCTTAAGCTTTAACCCAGAATTTTTGGGTTTATGCGCTAAATGTTTCAAGGTGAATTTTAAAATTGTGTCATAAGAATCCCCTTCTGCGTGTGAGTTTTGCTGCTGGACAAAATTTATGTTTTTTCATTTAAGTACCTTGATATATTAACCCAAATTAAAGTTCACACCCTAGTATAATAAAGCCCCCTTGCGTTTCAATCCCCCAATGAATTATGACCAAATGGTCCGAATACACAATTCATATTTTATCTGGAGTTGACCCTATGTGTGACCTTGACCTTGGCTGCAACGACCTGAAGTTTGCACGCCACATTTCGCCTTACAATGGTGAACATCGTGCAAAGTTATATTGCAATCCGTCTATGCATGTAGAAGGTTGCTTCGGACCAACGTCTTTCAGTGACCACTAAGTGTGACCTTGACGTTGGACCTAGAAACCTGGTTTATGCATGCGACATAGCTTCTCATAGTAGCGGACATTTCATGAAAATCATTTTATTCATGAAGGAGATATGCTCTGAACAAATTCGCTATATATCTTTAGTTAACTTGACCTTGCATATATTAACCTTAATTATATGTTTCACACCCCTAAAGATAATAATGACCATTTGTGTTTCAGTCCCTTAATAAATGGTTCGAATACACATTTTCATACTTAAATGAAATGTTAACAAATAATGCTTTACTTTCAAATAGAACCATAATTTTGTCGACGTCTATGTCAGCTTTATGGATCCTCGATTTTGACCACCAATTACGGACAAATGTTAATGTCGGAAAGTCAAAATCAATGTTAATTTTTTTTCCTTTTTCGTTTTCCTTAAAGTCATGAAGGGATGTAAAAATTATGTGTACGAAAAATTTTAAATGACATTAAATTTTGATTTAAATAATAATGCGGGTAAATTTTTTAAGGTCAATCTAATTGTTTCATATTGTTTTCAATTTATAGAAAATTTTCCCCCTAAATAATCAGAAACCCATTTTGACCTCTTAATTTTTTTAAAATATATTCAGTATGTCATTTAAAAAAGGTAGGATGTTTTTTTTGTATTTCAGTCTTTTTCTTTTTTTTATCCTCAACAATTTATTATATTACAGTTTTGTTCAACCCCTATGGCAAATTGAGCACATGGCAAAAGGCAATATTTAACATTTTCCATCGATCCCCACAATATGCAACCACCCATAAGGTGACCCGAAATTTTGTGGCAGTTTATTTAAAATTAATTTGTTCATTTTGACAGTTAAATTCATGCTGTGGGAATTTTACATATACAAATTATTGGTGTGTTGACCTGAATATTTGATATTGAAAATGATATTGTATTTCAGTGATTTAAAGATTTTGTTTGAAACATTTTTAGTATTTAGTTCCGTATTTAAAAGAAATGAATAAATCAGAAACGAGGCGATATAAAGGGGTATGTTAAGCTATCACTTATCGTTTGACAGATATGAAAAATTCGCCTTCATTTCATCACCATGCTGCCAATTATTGTTAAGTCTTCCAGAATTAAATGGTTTATAAAACTACTTTTTATTGAAGATTAAATGCTATTTTCATCGAGTGCTAGGTAAGCTACATCCTTTATTTCACTCTCACTTTTTTCCAGACTTTTAAACTTCACAAGTGCTGTGTGGCAGCCGTAAAATGTTGCATCTTACTTCAGTTCAGAGTTGTTTTATTTTCCTGTCTTTTGAGATTATTGATTCTAGCACTTTTAAGTGTTGTAAATTGAGAACTGCTCAAGCCGGTGCTAGGGGAACGTGAGGGATGTGACATTTTTTCATTATCCCTCATGTACAGACTCAATCAAACCGAGTTTGCAATTATCATATTTTTTGTTGTGATTAATACTTCCGAGGGATCATACTTTTTCAAGAATTTTATATTTGATATATTTGAATGATAATATTGTTTTTGATGATGTATTTTGTAAAAGCATGGAAATTCAATAAAGTTTCTGTTCTGTTCTTCTGTTCATAAAAAACTAAATGACAGGAATTTGAATAGTAATCAGAATAAAAATGATTTCTATTTGTTAAATTAATGTGACATTTTGATCGGTTTTGGAGGTTAATTTGAGCTGAATTAGCTATATATATTTCTAAATTGGCTGTTATAATGGTTACTGACTGTCCTACTCTTATACATTGAATATGACTGACACATTCCAAAGGATATTCATAGTATTTTCGTGAGTCACAGTGGTATTGATAAAACATGTGAAGTAAAAAGCGGCAAAATGTGAAATTATTTCGACTTACCTTTACACTCGCCATTTACAGTTTCATGAGCATAATGTTACTGTGAGGTATTTTGCGTTCTTTGCTATATACTTTAGTCTTTCCTGAGTATAGTTTTGCTTAATTCAATTCCTTTTAATGTCTGTTTCAACTTGATATTGAGAAAATATCAATATTAAAAACAATAGAAAATAAGCACGCACACTTTAATGTTTCAATGTATTTTGTAAATATTTGGTTTTTGACTATGTATTATGATAGATAATTCAGTACGATTTTGAAGAGTAATTGCCAAAGTGACATTGGTAATTCTCGAAAACCTAAATTCATATATCAAATAATGTATATATTATATTTCTATATATGTGATGATTATATATTTTCAATGACAGTTTAAAGTCCAATGGCCAATTTCACTTTCTTTTATTGTAAACATGTACGGAGATGTTTTTTCCCTTGTGTTACAACTTTCTAGAAAATTAGGGAGCGTCCGTTGTTGAGTGGTATTTGACTTCAAAGCACTTGCCCGTTACCGCTGTAGGTTCAAGTCCCGTAAGTGACTGTTGATTATTCTATTTAATGAAGCTATTCAGCTACCTAATGGTAACGTCGGTAGTTTTAATCAGGCGACTGTTCGTACCTTTAATAATTCACATACACGGAAGGGCATCTGACGTGTTTCGCAACCAGTAAAGCTGCTGAAGAGTAATCCTATAGCCACTTTCTTGTTGGTGCAACTTAAAACTAAACCCCAATCAAATTATAGAAAATTAAAAAATGGTTGATTACATTGTTACAATCATAATGCAATGTTAAGCTTTATTTTAATTGACAGAAGATGTGTGGTAAAACACTCAAAGATTTATAATTCAATCGTTATTCTGTCTCGTTTTGGAAATATGTCAATTTCTTAGGAAAAAGGGCGATATCAATGAAATAAGAGATGTATCGACAAACATCAAAATCATTTTAATGCGTATCAAATTGTTGAAAGATTTGCGAACGATTATATTAATGAAGTATTTTAGAATATGCAACAATTGATTTTGACTTTACGCTTTTTAATGAAAATTTGCTGTTTTATCAAAATTGAACAAGTACGGATATTTTACAGCTGCAAGCCAAAGCGGGACATTTAGACCGAATGTTTGTGCACATGGTGTTCTCCGATGACTTCTAAAACCTGTTAGCTTATATGTACATTTTATATATTGGTATTCTGACATTACTTATTCACTCCAACCAGCTTGCGCTTCTTTTGGAGCATGTTTAGTTTTTTAGCAAAATCTTTGTTTAAGCTTGATAGTGGAAAAAGTTCTTGCACCTGTTAATAGAAGTCGCTTTGCGTTTTGTATCATGTCCCTGGTTCAAACCAACGGTCTCTGAATTGAGAGAACAAGATCTCAATTATAAGACTACCTTTCCCCTTGAGCTTTTTATAGCTTGACTTGAATTTGGCAAGTAAACTTGTACTCGAGTATTCAAGGTCTCATTCCTTACGAACATTTCAGACTCTTTGAGTTGGTGTGGACACGCTTAAATAATTTTACAACTACGTTTGTACTTCAAGTTTTTTTCTCGTTTTTTTTTTTCGAGAATATGGATTAAGCGGCAGATTGTTAGGGTTTGAAGCAAGCGAAACCATTCTTCTCACTTTCATATCTATATGTTTTCTGTATATGTTTTCTGTATGATACAAAGGGGTTGTAGAAATTACTGTAGAAATTTAATTCTACTCAAAAATTTCTTGTACAGAAAATAAGATCATGTATTCTTATATATGTTTTTTTAATTCTGATTATATAAAAGCAATTTGACAAGCCAACATATTTTATCAGACAAAAATTAGAAATTCAAAATTCATAATGTAGGCAGATCCGTCTTAAGCATAAATAAAGTATGTCGATTTTGATTCTTGTGGCATAAGCATTATTTAATATTTTAGTTGCTTTTTATATGAAATAGTTTGAACAACTCTATTAGCTGAACAATAATATTACCGTCATAATAAACTGATGTGTGTTAGAATACAGTTTGATATGACGGTACGCCACAAGGAACAAATATTTCAACATGCTTATACTTATTCTTTGACAAGATATATAGTAGTACTGCGTTGATATCAGGTTAACAAAACTAACATAATAATCAATGATTGTCGACTACTTTATAGTATGTGAAATTATTTACAGTGATGACCATAAAAACGTAAAATGATACAGCATTTAGACTTTACTACATTCAATGTAAAATCACAATCATTTGTAATAATTTTAAACAAATTACATTAAGAGACTGTGTTAACTTCTCAATACAACGTACAGTTTTCTCTTTTGAAATCCATATTTTACACCACTATTCATTGTTACGAGCTAAACGCAAAAGAGAAGATAATGCAGCAACACATTTTACAATTCCATTACATGAATGATTGTACCAACTTTATAAACATTGATTTTGGATACATAACCAAATGCAATAATCAGAATTACGACAAAATGTCTTTGACAAATCTTCAGCATGTAACAAAAACATGTTGTTAACTACAATACGAAAGCTTTTTTAAAAATTTAATGTCATGTAATAAAAATATTTTTTCTACATTAAAAATAAACAAAATATCTTAAAAAAGAGAAAAAATGCACAGTTAATTAAATATTTATAAACACAACTCTACAAAATACAACTGTAGATTTATTGAATTTGTAAGTTTGCAAAGACGTATAGTCCGGAACATTGTATTTTATCTAGAATAATAGCTTATTTTTCTAATGCACAAAACACACTAAACTGTATATCATAAAGAACAGGAAGCCAAAATCATCCTAAGACTTCATCTACATTAATGGAACAATAGTGCAAGTGTCCAATTTACTGCACTTGACTAGCATATAAAATCTAATAAAAATAAATTCATTAAATGTTTAATGTCATGGTTAATTCCAAGGAAAATATACAAGTTATAATTTGCAAAAAAGTGTAAAACTGCCGTTATGAGTAAAGTGGTTTTTGGCGTTTATTTTGTTACATTCTGATAGTTTATTTTTTATTTTGCTTGATCATTAGAATTTTTCTGTGTGAAAGATAGTAACAATGAATGCATTGAATCTACTTTTGTTTCAATAGAGCTGACTCTGTTCTCAATTGAATCTAATTGATGTTTTGTTTTTTTAATTTCAAAATCTTTCAGACAGCTTACTTTCAAAGCAGCAAGTACTGACTGTATTGGGGACACAACAAATGTGTTATCAGTAGTGATACCCTCAACCATTCCAATACATTCAAAATCTTCTGACATTGCTTTGCAGAACACAAGCGAGCCGGAATCACCATTCTTAGCAAACTTGTCACCTTCTATACCAAGCTGATTCAAAAGTCTGAAGTTAAAATCCATATGTTTAAAGTCAAAGGACCTGACACAAACTGGTGTTGATTTGATTCTACCTATAGTCAAATCAGTTTTGCAGCCAAACTTAAACAAATCTTTCTCCAAAGCCCTTGATACACCACATGTCTTGCCAGTTTCAAAAGTGTACGGTATGTTGATTCCTGAAACAAAATATGTCATTTTAACTTTTGTTGGAATGTTGCCAATATATTAAAAAAAAATGTAAAGCTTTTATTAGACTATTTACCAATTTTTATCAAAGAAAAAGACCAGCTGATAATGCTTCAGGGCAAATATACAGTCTATATTATGCTCGAACAGCGTAAACTCTTTATCATATACATAGAGGTAATATACCTGAGATTATATATGATCCATTGAAATGACCATTTTTACTTAGCGGAAAAGCATATTTTTTTTGTAAAGATCACTTTAAAATATAACAAAAACTTTCAAAGCCAGAAAAAGAAAAGGAAATACAAGTACGACAAATTTAATTAAACTGACCATCTAAGATGGGTTAATTGTGAACATAGATTGATCGGAACAAGGCTAGACAAGCTTATTGTAAATTTAATAGCCTTTTGCCATTTTTAGTGATTTAAAAAAATAATAATATATAATTCGTTTTATGTATATCTGGTACCCCGTGGAATTGGACTTGAATTTACATCAATAAGATTACTATTGCTATTGTATTACATTTATGTAGCAGACATATATTTCTTGGGTGGTTGGGACTAATTTCTGATTTTTTTCCTTTCGGTTGCCTATGCAAAGAACCCTATTATTTTATCAACAGCATTGATCAACTTCCGGACTGTAAATGTGATCTGCTTACCATCTGAAGTTACCATCAACTTGTCATGGCCAACCTCTATACAATACATATGGACTATCGGCAATAGCTTACCAAAGTTATAGTTATTGTCAGACAAGCCTATAATTGTTTACATCTTGATAATCCTGACCTTTGATCTAAATTAATTGGGGGAATTCAACTGGTCCCTTGCAATGAATCTATCGAGTTACATAAAGCATGGTTTATTCCTTCTCAAGTTTCAAAAGTTTGAGGTTACATACGCATTTACGGACATATGAACCGGCCCAGTCAAAAAACGTTCCCACACTTTAAGCGTGGACATAAATAATTATGTAAATAACAAACTGAACAAAGGATGACCTGTGTCATAAGGGTTTGAAGAACTAAATGAGATTGAATTTGTATATATTTGGAATGTAAATTTGTATGGTCAATTATCCAAATGACTAAAATATGCATGATACATAGTACCTATGGCTTGGTACAACGAGATGTAGAACTTTTGAGTCTTCTGAGAAAATGACAGTCGTTGCCAAAATGTTGGGATTTTTTAAAAAACTTTTTTGCAAATGATTTTATCATTTTCTGACCGGCTTAAAAAGATAATAATGATTCATGATTTCGTATTAACGGCAAAATGATAATATTTGCAGACACACGAGTGAACATAAGTTTATCAATATCATTCATCACAAATAGTGTCTTACCATTCGGTTCAATCTCTGGGAAGTGACCTGCTTTTGGTGGTCGTGTTTCTATCTGTATAATAGCTACCTCTACACCTGCTTCAGATTGGTTACCTTCTTTGTAGATAGCTTGTACAATGCGTCCTATCTCATTGCGATTACCTGGCACAGGGTGCGGCTGGCATACTATATCACTAGAAAATATATTTGGCCAGGATATTTCTCCGTTATGTTCAACACATTTTTTCAATTCATCAGGAAACATCAACGTGTGTGCACATGTTATACCACAAACTCCATAACTCGGATGGTCAATGAACCCTCCAAGAGTCCCACCAAAATCAACAGCTCTTCCTGGGTACCTAGTAATCTTGCATCCCATTTTGATATCATCATGATACTCTGTTGCCGTTCCGTAAAGAAAAAACAGACCTTCCCTAATATCAACTGCAACACCATCATAAGTGTTTTGAAATGCATCCTCTTCTATTGGTATAAAACCTTTAGCTAACACATATAAGGTCATACAGCTTTCTGTGCTTAAACGCATAGCACTTGGTTTATAGTTTTTTGACCTCACAAAACTTCCAGATATTATATTAAGATATCTATGATTGTCCATCAGTTTTTCTGCGTACTTTGATATGCATGCACTTAGTTTTTTGTTTTCATCGTCACTCATCTTTTCCCTCTCTTCTATGCTGGAACTTATATCAATTCCTTCTGTACTCAATTCACCGTAATTTCTTTTTATCATTCTGTATCCTATGTCATTTTCATTAAGATCAAAATCCCACATCACTGTTACAACGAAAATGATTTTCCGCTCATTTTCCTTCTTGTACGCAGCATAAACGTGAATAATATATTCTGAAAAACTCTTTATCTTATTGCAAATCGACTCACAACATTGAATAACTAATTTGTCTTTTCTATCACGACTTTTGCATAGTATGTCCAGCTCATCTTGATTCAATAGTTTCCTTATTTCTGTTGCCTCGTTACATGATGTACTTGCATTCTCCGAGATCTTCTCTGTCAAACAAAAGGACCAAAGTAGACTTTTAATATCTCATTAGAGATAAAAAAAATGATAATTCTAAATGTAGAGGTATGCATTTCTAAGCATTCAGGTATGGTGCTTTTTTGGAAATAAAGTATAGTGAAATAAAATCCCGAAAGAAGGCCCAAAACCACAAAATTGAAAATGATGAAGGCTCGGTTTGATAGAGCCTGTTCATTGACAGTATTGGAAAGTGAAAGTTACCGTCCATACCCCCTAGCACCGGCTCAAGCAGTATTCAAAATTAACATGAAACGGTAAAATTTAGAATTTTAAAACAGCTGTAGATGTATTCATATTTCGGTTATCGTGGAACTTTGAATGTGACACGTTAGTGTAATTACATGAAAAACGGCGTATGGTCCTCAAGTAAAAGAATACTTTCAAATATTGAAGACCCTGAGTTTATGTGTAAATGCAAAAATAGCTAATTAAATTACTTACATTCATCATTGCAGCGCTTATTTATCAAATCTTGTTTAAAATCATTTAGATTATTTCAAATTGTAAATTCTTTCGGTAATGTTTTTTTGCCCTACGCAGAATGCACATGCACGAAATGTTATTCCCGTTTTCTATGGAAATAATGTAGTGTAAAATGTCTTTACAATTTTTTAAAATAAAAGAATAAAGTAAACAAAATAAACAGATAGTTCCGGAATCTCAAAATTGAAATTTACCGCCACTAAGTGAACCGGAAAACTTTTAAAAGCTGATTATGATGTTGCATTTTACACATGTATTCCAAACAAATGCCTCATTTAAATAAATACATTTATTTAGTTCACCTGATGTAAATAGAAGGTTAACATAAGTAGTTTCAATTTTAAGAAATTGACGAAAGCCCACCAAGAATTATGTTGTCAAAAATGGAATGTTCAATGTTGCTGATGAAATTTATGCTTAGCCTTTTAAGGTATTAGCACCCTAATGCATTACCTCCGCTTTGAAGAGTATTCAAATAGGCTAGAACTACTGTTAACTACATTGAAAATGAGGGCCATGGGTTCAATCCCCAGAAGGGTCAACTTTTTTTTTCTTTCTTTTTTTCTTTTAACATTATTGATGTATCTCTCATGTCCCATTTGGAAAGAAAAAAGTGTTTAATTTTGATTTTTTAATTTATATAGGTATTTATTGGCTAAATTATGCTAAATCTAGTAATAAATATGGTACCTGATATTTTCAAAGTGTAATATAATCAAAACTAGACGGTAAAAATATTTCATATTTTACAAGATCAACCAATATACTTTTTAAAAAATTTAGGGAAACTTTGAAAACAGGCACTCATTTGGGTAAATTTTAAGATTTTTTTTTAAAAAAATGGTCAGACACGTGGTAAAAATTGGTGGGGTAGGGTAACATTTTTATACAGATTTCATAAACTTTAAGTAGAAACCTTAATTTTGCTTATTTGAATTGTTAGCTGGATGGTACTATTTGTTTCTTACCAAAAATTAATAGGAAAACATTTTTCATTAGAATGTTATTGCAGATTATTTAAAGGTTCCTACTTTCTAAAAAATGGCCCTCATAACATCCTAGCTTGAGTTCAGAAAAGTGGCCCTAACTTGATTTCCGTACGGTAAACTTTGTTTAAATTTTGCATACAGGTGTACTTTAAGGTATACATCTGACTTATGATGTCAAGTTTTTAGTTCCTGATAGTGCCCATTAGGGTCCTAATACCTTAAGTAAAGACTTTGCTATAATATTCGAAATACGTTTAATTATACATTGTAATTCCTTTATCTTGATTGCGTACATGCATTATAGTTTATATTGAAACGTCTGTAAAATTCACAGTCACTTGGGTTGTGGAGCTTAAAACGCCTTTAAAATCCAAAAATAATGTATATTTGTCAATCCCAGCACATGTACTGATCATATATATCAAATAAACTTAATATAAAATAGAGAAAAACAGAATCCCTAAAGAAAGTCAAACACAACAAAGTTGAAAATGTTGCAGGCTCGGTTTGATCAAGCCTAGCCGTTTTGAAAAAAAAATTCATATGTCAACATCTATAATAATATACAAGATAAAAATGTTTGCCGAAAAAATCCGCCCACTTACTGTCAACATCACCATGTATTTTATTCCATTTCCATTATTTTCACATGATCCTTTAGATATAATTCTTTACGATGATGGGCAATTTGAAACTTCAACGGTTATATTAACAACGCAACAGCCAAAATAAACATCAAGATTATCGCCGTTTTACTCCGTTTACAAAATCTTTTGATAAATTAAAACGTGGCTCCCCAGCTTTGCCGTGTGCAAAATGCGCTGCACTTTGAAGATGGGAATCAGTCGGGGCTATGGACGAAGCTATTCGGTAATATGTTGGTTCACATACTTCAAAGCGGGGTATAAACGACATAAACGAGTAATGAATTGATACTATTAAGCTATTCAACATTATTTTTTGTCCAATCACATTGCAGTTTTTTTCAAAATTTTTTAACTTCGATTAATGTGTACTAACTAAATTAAATTTACTTTATCAGGTCCGTCTAACCAGTCTAACTAATTTCAATAATGGTATAGGTTATTATACATTTTGCTGTACAATACGGAATATATTTGGACCAGTAAATAGCATGGACGAGCCGATATTGACTTATCAAGCTGTACACCAGTTCAAATATATTTTGTAATGTACAGTAAAATGTTTAATAACCTTTTTATTGTATATCTTTCATTTTTTTTATTTGAAATATCATCATCATCATCATCATCATCATCACCATCATCATCATCATCATCAACCCAAACAGAACCACCAAAAACTACCAATGTGCGCGATTCAGAAGGCAGTGTAACAGTGAACCATCGCATAAATATTCCGTCTGATAACTCTTGCTCACAGTGTTTTTAGCTTTCTTTCTTTTGACAAAATCAGAAATGTGTTTGTCTGTTAACATTCTGCCGTTTGGACTAAAACAAAACAACGCTTCCTTGTCAGCAAGACATTTTACCAGCTGTTGTAAGCATGTGATAAAAAGGACCTTTATGCGAGCATGATTCCATGTCTTAAATTTGTAAGAGATTGAAATCGGAAACCAGACCAGCATCGTTTAGTGCACATGTACCCAACCGTCCAATATGAAAATGATTTTTTTTTTCAATACGGGAATGTAATGGACGGTCACGAGGTACAAATGCAGATTGTCGATTGGTTAGATTTATTAGATATATACTATTGTATTATATTAAGTAGGAAATACGGGTGTATTTGTACTCTGAATTGTTACATATATAAGAACGGAATAAAATCTGAAAAAGAAGAAGCTGTAGTATATATGTACTTTAAGAAAAATACAGATTAATAGAAAAGAATTTCCAAGAAACCATTTAGCAAATCAACAAAAAATGAAAATGAATGAAGTTTAATAAAATTATACATTAGATAATAAGCAAACAGTTCTTGTTCACCACTAATTAATAAGTTTCTGACGAATTTATGTTTGTTAATGCGTATTATTAAACACTAACCTATACATGTATTTTAACTTGTACGCAATAAAATACTATAATATTATTTCAAAAATAAAAGTATTCAATAATTTTCAGTACACTGACATACATGCATACATGCATTGCAAATTTGCATTTCTTTATTTAAATCAATATACATAGAAAATGTCAAATCTTATATGTACATGTGTATAAATAGTAATTTAATCAACATCAGTGCTTTATTAACTTTCAGAATTGAAACATGTCCAACAAGACACATAATTTTTGAGGATATACATTGATAATGTTATCTAAAAAAAATGCAGAAATGAGGCTCACAATAAATTTAAGTGGATTTTGGGAATTTTTAAGCTTTACAACATTCCAAAATTTTTTGTTTTTTATCTTTCGATTACTATCAAATTAAATTTTTTGTAGGATTGAATTTTATGTATTTATTTGTACTGTATGAAAAAGAAACGAAATAACTTATTAATAATCTATGTTTTGATTAAATTTTAAAACCCTGTTCCTTTTTTTAGTTTATTATCCAATGTCTGATAATTGTCTGTAGATCCAAAAATTTATTTCACGGAAAAATTATAGACATATTTTTGGTTTAAATTCATTTTTCCTTACGATTATTTAAACCCCTTTAAAATGTTTTCCTTTAGAATAAATTTGTCACATACAACACCGGACTGAAGAGCTTCAACAGCAAATTGAACAAGAGGGTCATGATGGTCCTTATATCGCCAACCTGACTATGAAAGATTTGTCAAAATTTCCAGGATATGTGGAATGGAACAGTATCCACACGTGTGTTAACAAAGTAATTCTATAATTGGGTTGTGTGACCTAGTTTTTGACCCAAGGTGTCCCATGTTTCAACTTGACCTTGTAATCATCATTAATCTTTTTGACCAATTTCTAGGGTATGTAGATTTAAACAGTAGCCACTAGAGTGTTCACAGGTCTTTTTTCCGAATTAAGGCTGTTTGACCAAGTTTTCAACCCAAAGTGACCCATATTTTAGCATGACCTAGAAATGAACAGAACAATCTCTCATGCCAAATTTCCACGATATTTGTTCTGAAGAAAAACACTTTAACAAGGAACAAGGTTTTTCAATAATTGGCCTAAGTGACCTAGTTTTTACCCAAGGTGACCCATTTGAAACTTCACCTAGAAATCATTTTAACAATCTTTCTGACTAATTTCTAGGATATTTGGTCTGAATAAATTGTCCAAAGTGTGTCAACAATGTTTTTTTGGGCTCAACCGATTTATTAAATTTATCAAAAGCAATGATCGTTCCTTTGAATGATGTGGTTTTATTAAACCTGTGTGCCATTATGTAAAATATCAAGTAATATAGCAATCAAATTTTACCTGCTTCATAGAAAAAAGTAGTTACTTTATTCAATATATTAATAATTATTGTAGACGATATGACTTTTAAGCTGTACAAACTTAAACGAGTATTTCGGACATTATTCACCCATATAAATACCACTATTACTTATCGTGTCAATGGGTCATTATATATTTATATAACATATAATGCAGATAACAAAAATTTTGACAAAAATTGAAATGAAAGGAAAAAGAGCATTATCATTAATTTAAGAACATACTAACCTTTTTTTCCTGAAGTAAAAAGGCTGGCGTTCGATTGCTGTAAATTCAAATTATAAATCAAATGTCTGTGTGCATAAAAATACTAATAATGGTTGAAACTGTAAAATCATGATGTTTTGTTGACAAAAACCTATACATTACTATAAATAGAATTGATATCCGGTAAAAAAATACATTTATACATTAATTTCCGTTAACTCTTTTAGTTGTGCTATTGCTTGTGCAATAGCGCTATTGCTTGTGCAATAGCACATTTGTTCTTAAGCTGCTAGTAAATGCTAAATATAAGTTATGAAACGATATTTAAAAAAAAAAGTCTAAACTACCTCTAAAATTCCAGCGCCTTGGACTGGACTTTCTGCGGCATCTGAAAGAAATTTTGTTGTTGCTAAATAGACATGTTCACAGTGTAGAAATGAAAAGAGGAAATTATTGCAAAATTACGCAAGCAGATTTATTGATCTTTTGCTCTGTACTTGAACTACTTGTTAGGGAGATGATTTATGGATTTATACAGTGCACTTCTACACTATTAGATCTAAGCACCTACAAAGTTTCTTGTTGATAAATCTTGTAGTTTCAGGATGGACGGACAAAGCGGCGACTGCATGGTCTTCCTTCGGGGAGCAAAAGAAACTTGGCTTTACAATATATTCTGCTATATTAGATATGCATTGTGTTGAAATTTTGCTGTTGGCAAACCTGTATCAATTGTACAAAAATACATTTTTTTTCATATACATTGTAAAGCATAACAAAAAGGACCATGGTGTACGAAATACCGGTTGGACATTTCAACTTCATAAATTCCCGATTTGATCTTCATAAATTCCCTAATTCAACTTGACGAATTCACGATTTCAACTTCATGAAATTGAAATCGTGAATTCGTGAAGTTGAAATCGTGAATTCGTGAAGTTGAAATTGTGAATTCACGAATCTAAATTCGTGAAAATAACATTATGAATTCATGAAGTTGAAATCGTGATTTAGCCCTTGCAGTTTTCAAGAACAATGTTTTGAAGTATTTACTATATAAGGTAAAGCAATGGTCAACTGGTTCGGGACAATTTTGAACCAAAGGCTTAAATTTATGGAAAAAACTTTTGTAGAAGTTCACCAGAAAATGTTTCATACTGAATATCTAAGCTACCCTGTAGAAGAATAAAAGATTTGTTTTACTATTTATAGAAAAATGGAAAATCAATTATCCCCTTGGGCGGACTAATTTTGAACCAAGGACCATAAATTCAACAATTTTTGTATAAGTCCAACAGACCATGCTTAATGCAAAATATCTGAGCTAACCCTAGAGTTTAAAAATATTTTTACATAATACAGACAATCAATGACACCCAAAGCGGGCAAATTTCGACCTAAGGGCTATAATTTTAACAATTTATTGGAGGTCTACTACATAATATTTTATGTCAAAAAACTAAACTTTGGATCTTGTAGTTTTAATTTTACTACATACATGTAAGAAAATCTATGTTGTCCTAAGGCGGGCCGATTTTGACCCATGGGCTGTAGTTTGAAGAATTTTTGAACCAAGTTTCATAATTAACAGCTAGGCTTGAGCCTCTTAAGGGACTTTGGATTCTTTCATGTGAGGAAGCTATCCAGCTAGCTTACGGAACGTCGGTGGTTCTACTCAGGTGCCCTTTCGTGCCTGAAATAATGCATGGAAGGGCACCTGAGGTCTTCCTCCACCAATAAAGCTGGAACGTCGCGATATGACCTATACTGTGTCGATGCGACGTAAAACCCAAAACAAACAAACAAAATATATGCTATAGCCCCCAGAAGCATTAATCATAACAAAATTACATGGAAAGTGCAGACTTTGTTTGATTGAGTCGTCTGTACATGAGTGATAATGAATAAGTGTCACATCCCTCACGCCCTCTGGTACCCGCTTGAACGTTACTCAATTCTCAACATTTAATAGTCCTGGCATCAATGATCCAGAAGGACCAATAAAATATAACAACACTCAATTGAAGTAAGTCTCAGATGTGTTTTCCTATATAAATCAAGTAAATACTTGGCTTGGATAATTAATATTGAACCTCGGGGCATGATTCAAATAAGTTTTGTAAAGATCAATAAGTCAATGCTACCTGCTAAATACCTACGCTTCCTTTAGACATTGTAGTTCAACGCAATGGAGCTTAAATATGTTTTCCAATATAATTTTTATACAACCAAATCATCCCCAGGGCGGGTCAGGAAGCCCTGACCCTTATTCTACAACCAACGCATTGTAAGTTATAGTTATTTCAATGATTCTTTCTATCGGTTCAAATAAATAAATACTGTTTTTGAGGTCAACAGTATCGGCAAAAGCAAACTCAACAACATCATGACTGTACAAATAGCTCTTTTTTTCTTTGAAAAAGGTAAAACAAATATTGTTGTGAACTTAATTATATTCTTCTTCTTGCAAAAATAAATATCATACCCATTGCAAAATGTGCAGCTCCTTGTCGCGTATGTGCCTTCCTAGGAATTCTGGTTTCTGCAGTATTTTTCTTGAACTTTTTATTTGAAGATTTTCCATCGTCCTTGCTGCGTAATTCTTAATGACATAAACATATATAATATTATACTAACAAAACGTGTTAATGTAAAACATAACAAGAAATGCGCCCATAAGATACAGATGTCCCCACAATCCACTGTTGAATCAATGTACTGAATCTAGTTTTTGGGCTACGTGTGACGACACAAAGTAGATAAATACAGAATCCCCAAAGAAAGCCCAACACGACAAAATTGAAAATGTTGCAGGCTCGGTTTGATTGAGCCTGTTAATAGACGGTACTGGAAAGTGCAAGTTACCGTCCACGCCCCCTAGCACCGGCTTAAGCAGAATTCAACATTTAAACATGAACTAGTAAAAGTTTGAATTTAGAAACATCCGCAGACGTGTTCATACGGCGGTTATCATGGAACCTTAAATGTGACACGTCCGTGCCATTCCATGAAAAGCGGCGTATGGTCCCAACATAATAAAAAGCGAGTGCCCTAAACGAGAAAACAATGAGCGGAACTAATTAAAATGGAATTTTGAACGGGGATCAGAAGTTATGAAGCCTGCATATCACAGATAAGACGTCAAAAGACAAATTTAAAAAGCAGGCAACATATCCTAAGGGTGATTCAACATTATTCAAGTAGGAATATTGGAACTACCCAACAAGAAAATGCCGAAAAGTTGAAACTTAAAATACCACAAGCACAACAATAATGTCGTGCTGAACGACCTTCAAGGATCGAAAATATAATATCATTGATTAAATGTACGTGGAGACTTTTTACAGCCGCAACACGGCACGGTACAAGTTGAAAATTGCAAATCTTTCACTCAGTCAAGGGCAAAAACACAAATAGTAAATAAATCTACAAGCAAACTCCATGTTGCCTAAAGTTGTAGTCTTGCTGACCAAAATTTCTGTAAACTTTCAGTTCTGCAGGTTAAATCGTTTTTGAGCTACGCTGAACAATATAATTAGATTGAAAACAAACTACATGTGCACAACTTCACAAACTGATCTTTTTCTTCTTTTAGAAGAGTATTCGTTTGGACTTAATTGTAGTCTAAATTAAAGAAACAAAGCCAGCAAGTAAACATGAAATATTGATTTGATTTGACTTAAAAAGCAATGAATGAACAAGAAATGTCGAACGACCCCTTTCTATTCCTTGACTTATATCATTGGTAATTTTGTTAAGAAACCTGGGTACAAGAAAGTGTTCAGTTATGGACAAAAATATAAAGACCTTCTAATTGTTACCTATCAATATGCGAAATATAAAAACCTTGACCTTTGAACTAGTGATCCCATTATTACTAGTCCATATGTGAAATATGAAGACTTTGCGATCAAAGTTTTCACGGTTTTAAGCTTAAACCATTTTTACATTGAAGGCCGCTGTGACCTGGACCTCTGCAATAGTGATTCCAAAATCAATATGTGTTTTTTTTTATTATATATGGCTATTAAATATGTAAAACATGAAGACGTAGTGATTTGCAAGATAATGTGCAAAAACCATTCTGACATTTAAGGCACATGTGACCTTGACGTTTGACCTAGTTACTCCAAAATCAATAGGGATCTTCTACAAAGATTTTTAGTTGACTTATCAATATGTGAAATATGAAGACTGTGTGATGAAAAGTTTTCAAGATGATTCGCGGAAACCATTCTGACATTAAAAGAAGTATACCCCTAATGCATTACCTCCGCTTTGAAAAGTATTTAAATGTCAAAGTCTAATCAAATAAAAACTACACGGTAAAAGTACTTTATATTTTGCAAAATCAACCAATTTACTTTTTTTTAAGAACATTAAAGCAAACTATGAAAACCGCTCCTCATTGCGGTAATTTTTAGGGATATTTTGAATACAGCTTTTTTAATAGGAAATGGTCAAATAAGTGGTTGAAGTGGATAGGGTAGGGTAACTACTTACAAAGATTTTGTTGATACCTTTTGAAGTTTCAGAGTTATGTTCCGGAAAAGAAAAATGCGAACAGACGGACGAAGCGGCGAGCATAATAAACGTGACTTGACAATGTTCTTCCGTTTTATTAAAAATGCATTGTGTTGAAATCCCTGTTATCTGTATCAATTGTTTTAAAATGCATGTTTTTTCATATACATTGTAAAAAATAAAAATATACACAGGATATGACATTTATAAATCTGGTAATAGCATTTAATTGATTTACAAATAACAGCGAATGTAAGAAAATTTTAAGAAATCCACAGAAACTATCTGGAAATAAGTGAATGGAAAAAAAGATAAAGCCATCAAAAAGCCAAATAAGATACAAACATGTATTTACGGAACATATGAAGATAAATAGATGATCATCGTTAAAAATGTGAAAGACCTTATTCAAATTAATGAGAACTTTTTTACAGTAACAAATAGATAGAAAATAAACATTTGACAAAAAACGGAAACAGTCTAGAAGCAAATATATGTACTCCTATATATGCAATTTTGCGGCTTACAACAGCATGCCTCCAGATTCATGCTAAATTTCATGAACATTTTGAAAATGTATTTAAAAATAAAATATTGTAAAGTGAACAAAGAAAGTAATTTAACAATGTAACAATCGACGTAACTTACCAAAAATGGTCAAAATATACATAAACACTCTTACTGCATTAATAACGCAGTAAAATTATAATGATTGATAATGCAAAATCAGTCGTTAATCACACATAACATGTAAATAATTAATTAAATATTACTGACAGTTAAATAATTGGGACTTGAAAAGCCTTTTCAGAAAGAAATATCTCTGAGTTATTTAAAATATACTATGCTCAAATTCGATGTTAAATTCAAAGAAAATATTGATAATTGAAACACAGTCTCTTTGTTAATATGATATAAATTTGTTTTGACTTCACAAAAAGTAGATATGATATGTTTAAAATTCTACACTCTATAGGTGGTCGAAGTATGAATATATAGTGTCAATTAAAAAAAACAGCAACCGGCAGCTGTTTTAGGAAAATACAAACTTTTCGTGACCTGTATTGGAGAAGGCTGCTTCCCCTACTTATATCATTGAACGATTCTAATACTGTTCTTAGTGAGATTGAGATATTAGATCTTTTAATTACTTCAAATATATAGATTCAATTAAACCCATTCTCTTTCTGTTTAAATTGGTCTCCAGGGATTAAAATACAAAGAACATGTACATAGTTGTTAACTCAGCGATAGTTACAGTTTCAACTCTTTTTCAGAAATAAAGCACAGAACCTCGCAAATATTAACCAGAATGCTGACGTCTGAGGACATTTTCGTGTAGTTTACTATAGAGAGAAGATTTGAAAGATTTGTATGTGTTTTATATTACAGCAAATTCGATAGCATGTCAAGTTTTTCATATTATTTTTGTTGAATGTATATTTGTTACTGAAAATTTCATAGGTAGGCTTAAATCATATTCGATAGAGAGCAAGTTGAAATTTGTGATGTTCCGAAGTACAGAAAAAACGGTGTTTTCATTTTTTTTCAAATTAAGCTCTAATAAAAAAAAATATAAAAGGAGGAGATTTTTAAAAGTCCATATCCGGAAAAAACGTGTGCATACAGATTTTAGTAAAGAATCTAAAATGTTAAACATTTTTAAGAACGCTGTCTCTAAACACACCTTCGTTACTATAGTTCAACAGTAAAATTCTGTTTTTAATACTGTAATTATTGCTGCTAAATAATGGAAAATGCATCGAGTCTTTGTTCATTACATGCAATTTTTTTTGTTTTGGTTATCATTTACCCGTTCATTAACATTTCTAAACGATCAATATTTCAAATATATGTAAAGTAGTGGCATTTAACCCCCCCCCTTTTTAGGCCTGAAATAGTGAAAAAAATGTCCTATTTGGGCCCCAAACACATGTTTTCGTTTGAGAAATGTTGCTAAAACAAAGCACTTTTTCGGCGCCGCCCCCATCCAAAAGATACATCAGGGGGTTGCCAGAAGGGGGATGTGCCCCCTTCTTTTTGGGGGGTTTGAAGTGGGGCGGAGTCCCCCTCATCGCCAAGAATATTTTGGACTTGTGAGAGGCTTAAAATGACCCCAGGTCGATCATAAGGTAACGTGTAACCAACGCTGAAAAGCCTTTGACTCTATCTCAATCCCTTGAGACGTTGCAGCACTTTGAAATGAATTTTGATGGAAATAATCGAGGCAAAATAGTGATTTTTGGCAATTTTGAGATGTCCCATCGTTGCCATGGTAACAGGAAATTTAAGACTGAGCATATCGTTACAATAGCAATGGTCCAGTCAACATTTATGCCAAGTTTGATTAGTATTGAAGCATTTTTCATAGTTTCATAGCAGTTTGATTTTGTTAGAGGCGGCTTTTCAGTGAAAAAATGGCCATTTTTCACAATATGCTCATGGGGGAAAGGGTTAATATACACAAACCGATCAGTCCTTATACAACATAAACCGATAAAAATATATTCCCTTTCTTTATTTTGAGTATCATTTCCTCCTGCAGATTCGTCCTACATTTCAAACATCTCGCCTGTATAATGATTTACTGGTTTAAGTTCCTTTAGTGCTTATATTACAAATATTGATTAATTCTCAAATTTCAACAAGGTTTGTTTTATTGAATACTGCTTGAGTTCACAAAAACAAATCTCACAATTGTAAATCTGAATAATTATAACTTTTAATTTTGAATAAATTAGAGGACTGACTTACCTTTGGCCCTGTTTGGATTTGTGACTTTTTGCGTCAGTGTGTTGTTATTTTTGCTCTGCCATGTTGGTTTTAATTACAGTTTATATTTTATTTATGAAAGTGACAAGGATTGAAACAGAAATAAAAATTTAATCCTACGCTACTCCGTTAAAGCATCTAGGATAATCCTTATGAAATATTTTTCTTAAACTTTTCTAAGAATAAAATAATCTCCATTACCTTGTTTTTCCTCGCAGTTATCTACAGTATTAGTTAATACAGGATGTTGTGTGTCTAGCTCTCCAAACACGTTCAATGAAATTGTTCTCTGAAAGTAACGTTAGCTAAATTTGTCAAGATATTTTCATATATCACAAAT